TTTTTCTCCCTTCCAGACTCTGCAGCTGTGCAGCATCTCTTGGGTGTCTTTTGTCTCCGCTTTCACTGGTGACAGCAGCAGCAGCATCCCGGGATTCAACCATGGTGTGTATTTTATCCCTTTTTTAAAGTGGCATGCCGAGGGACAACCTGCCATCTGTGCTGGAGTCTGTTGTTGAAACCTGTGTGGGAAATGGGTTGCTTCTGTGGACTTTGTGGGGGAGAGACGCATGGGAAGGGTAGGTGGCTCTGTGACGGAGTCTCTGCTTTGTATGCAGAAGGTCCCAGGTTCAGTCTCCGGTATCTCTGGTTAGCCTGCCGGGATGTGGAGAAAGAACTTTTTTTCTAAACCTGAGATCATGGAAAGCCACTGCCAGAATGACCCTGATAGACCAGGAGTCTGATTTGGTAGAAGGAAGGCAGCTTCGTTTCATTTGAGTGCCGGCGTTGCTCTCTGGAGACCAGACTTCTCGGCAGGTTACTGACTTCTTGTGCCTCCTCTGTAAAATGGGTGGGAATGTGACAGCTAGCAGTGCAAAGACTGGATTGCGTGCTGCTTTTCGAACACCGAAGCAAGCGAAAGAGGCTGATGTTGCCCCAGCCGGCTGCACTTTGCAAAGAGAGCGTCACAGGTAATATGGACCGTTCTGTCAGTAAGAGCCGGTGCGGTGTGGTGGTTAGAGGGTCTGGGAGATCAAGCTTTGAATCCCCACTCTGCCACGGAAGCCTGCCGGTTGCCCTGGGGCCAGTCACACACTCTCCACCTAAGCAACCTCGCAGGGTCATTGTGACGGTAAAACGGAGGAGAGGAGAATGATGTTACCTGCTTTGGGTCCCCACTGGGGAGAAAGGCAGTGTAAGTGGCTAGTCACCTCGGGTATTTACCTTCGACTTATGTATTCAGAGTATACTTCCAATTACTAGATACCATCAGAGGGTTGCTGTGTTGGTCTGCAATGGAACAGCTGGATTTGAGTCCAGTAGCACCTTACAGGCTGACAAGATTTCCGGGGTATCAACTTTACAGGGTTAAAGTTCCATTCATCTGATAGCCTGAACATCTCATTGGTCTCTAAGGTGCTGCTACTGGATTCAAATCTCGCCCGTCTCCTAAATACCAATGACCAAAAGCTGCCGCTCGCTCAGCTTTGGAGCATCCCAGTTCCGTGGGCAGGTTGCTGTTGAGCACAGAATGCTGAGCTGGCCAGACCTTTGGTCTGACCCGGCAAGACAGTCCTGACATCCTTAAGGTCACAGGGTAATGATTCTCTAGGATGAGAGTGCAAGCTTGCCCCCTGATCCCAGAAGCTGGTTTACCTGGAAGCCAGCTCAGTTTGTTTCCATGTTCCGGTGGAAAGGTGCATCGGAGGGCGGCATAAAATTTCTTCAAAATGTTACTTGGATAGTACAGTTGTAAGGGCGTAGGTGTCAGTTGAAGTCAGTGGGCTTGGAAGAGCATAACTCTGTTTAGGATTGCGCTGGAAATCGTTGGGACTTATTTCCTTGTAAATATATTATGGATCCAAGAGCAGACAGTGATGGAGATATCCAGGCAAAAGCTGCTCTAGCCACTGGGGGGGAGGGGAAGGAGGAAACAGGAATGGGTTATTAATCTCTACAAAAAATAAATAAACCCAGCTGCTATTTAAAAATAATGTGGAAGCATCTCTCAGAATCTCTAGACTTCAAAGAATTTCCAGCCCCCCCCCCCGAAAAAAACAGTGGATGAAATGAAGCAAGCGCAAAGAACATGTGTGAACAGGCAAGCAAGGATTGCTAGATTTCAAAGACAACAGGAGAAGGAATGAATGGATTGGAGGCAGATTGCACATTCCAAAACTAAGAATTAATGTTCAAAAGAATGGTTAGGGGGGGAAATATGGCTATGTTTTGGCAGTATGAAGTGCATTGAAGAGGACAAAAATGACTGTAGCTACGTTCTGCCTTTGTGTCATATGTTGCAGGATATGCGTCTGGGTTTGTGTCTGTAGGACAGGAAGACACATGCATTGTATGCTTGGAGTGTGAACAAGTACATTATGCCCAAGGATTGGGACAGGCAAACCCTGGTGCATGGTGCGCCTTTGCGCTGGGGAATTCCCTCCCTCTCGCAGCTGCTTGCTTTTTTGGCGACCAGCCTGCTGAGCGTCCGGAACTTCTGCCACTGATTAACACCACTGGAAGGAAAGTGAAAGGCGCTTGATGTATTGTTTCCACGCTGCAGCAAAGACAACGTCTTGCCTGCTGCTTTGAGCCGTTTGAAAGATGCAGCTCTTTCAAATGAGGAGGGTAGCTGCATTTCAAAGATGGGCCCGTCTTTTCCCTTTGGGTCTTATCCGCTGAGCTAAAGAAAGGTGGATGAGCTAGACGGCTTTCTCCCCAAGAGGCCATGGATGTGTCATTGTTATATTTTGCTCCCAGCCTTCCTCTAAGGAGCTGAGAGAAGCACACATGACTTCCATACCACTGCAAATGTATCCTCAGCGTGACCAACCCAAGCTCATCCAGGGACTCCGTGGGCTTGGTGGAAAGGGCTGTCAAGTTGCGGCTTCACTTATGGTGACCCCTCATGAGGATTTCCAGGGAAGAGACCTTCAGATGTGCTTTGCCCTTGCCTGCTTCGGGGTAGGGACCCTGGACTTCCTTGGTGGTTTCCCATCGGAGCAGGAACCCAGGGCTGAACCTGCTTAGCTTCCAAGATCTGACGAGATCAGGCTAGTCTGGACCATCCAGCTCAGGGCCTCAGTGAGTGTACCTACCTATTACATTTTCTCTAGGTCTGTCCCTGGATGTGGTCAGCTGATGAGGATTGTGATTTCTGTGCTCAGAACTCAGTTCCCGGGCATGCATGGGAAGGGGGCTTAGAACACCCCCGTGCCTTTCCCCCAACCTCAAACTTCCTTGGGGAGCCACTGTTTGTCTCATTTTGGAAACTTAGCATCTCTCTCTCTCTCTCTCTCTCACTCTCGTTCCCCAAAAGAGTAAGTAGTGCTCCCTGGGAACATCTCAGATCCAAAAAATGGCACAGGGGAAGCTTAACCCCGCTCCCCATGCATGCTGTGGTCCCAGTCCAAGTTGCTCCCCTGCTTTCCTGAGAAGCACAGAGCTGTCACACTTCCCAGAGGTCCACATGGTTCTTTCCTCCCCGATATCACACTCATAATACCCTGTGAATTAGAGCAGGTTGAGACAATGTGTCTGACCCATCTAGAAAGTCTGTCAGCCTAGCAGGGGATTTGATACTGGTGGTCAATGCTCCCTCTAAGCTGTGAAGTCTTGTGAGCAACAGTTCTACTTTGTGAGCTACTGGCATTAAAGTTGTGAGCGAGCAATTTGGCTACTGCATAAATTAGTTTCCTGTGGAGCCGTCCTTCCGGTGCTAAGACAAAAATGTGTGAGCCGGAGGCTCAAAAACTGTGAGCTAGCTCACACCAACTCACCTTAGCGGGAACATTGCTAGTGGTGCAATTAAATGCACTGGCTGTTTCCAGGCACTATTACTAAAAAACAGTAAATTATAGGGAGGGGCTACGGCTCAGTGGTAGAGCATGGTCAGTGGCCTCTCAGGCTATAAAACACCAGGTAATAGGTGATGTGAAAGGCCTCAAACTGAGACCCTGGAGAGCTGCTGCCATCCCGAGTAGACAATACTGATTCAGTACAAGGCGACTTCATGTGTGTTCAGGCTGGATGGTAGTATGTTTACCATTGAGGATGTGAGAGCCAATGTGGTTGAGTGGTTAGAATATGAGACTAGGATCTGGGAGTCCCAAGTTCGAATCCTCATTCTGCCATCGAAGGTTGCTGGGTGACCTGGGGCCAGTCTATCTTTCTCAGCCTAACCTCACAGGGTGGTGGTTGTGAGGATAAACTGAAGGAGAGGATAATGGCATCTTAAGCCACTTCAAGTTCTCACTGGGGAGACAAGGGGGGGTATACAATAATTAAATGGGTAATGCAGTTTTCCGGGGAGTCAGCCCAGTCAAAGGCCATCAATTTCTGCATAACTCTGCATGGGTTTGCATGGTTAGTGAATCGGTTTATATTTATAACTTGCAGTTGTATATCCTGAAGCCTGCAGTTCATGCATCAGAGGAAGTGGGCTGCAGCGGCAATGAATTATGTTAGTTGTGTGTGCATCGCTAGATTCTTTGATCTTGTAGTCATAGCTCTCTGTGTAAGTCTCTCACCACTGGACTGTACCCACTCACAGAGAGGGTTTTTCTAATTTGTTTTTGTGTCATTTGTCTTGAGTGTTTGTGAGTTGTCTGGATAGTTCATATAATCACAGTGTTGGAAGGTATCTCCAGGGTCATCTAGTCCAACCCCGGCACAATACAGGAAATTCACAACTACCTCCCCCCCCACACCCCCAGAAGATACAAAAAACAAAACAAACCCTCCAGGATCCCTGGTGAAACTGGGATCAACTTGGTTGATCTTATTCAGCAGAAAAACAGCTTATTCATTTTCTAAACTCAAATGAAATTTTGGAGGGGTGTTGGGTACCCCTCACTGCATCTGAAACTTCCAGGGCCCAGAGGTCCTTCCGTACCTATGTGTGAGAAAAAGGTTTTATGCCGCTGCCAGACTTTGCCCCAGGAGATAGTACTGTTAGTGTTCAAAGTTCATATTGAAAGTTGAAACTTTTCCCCAACGTATAGTTTAATCACTAAGATAACCAGAAGCTTGACACTTGGCACAGCTTGCCTTGAGCATGCCCAATGTCTTGCTGCTGATTCCCACAACCAGCACATACATTTTAAATGATCAATGTGTGTTTAAACGTCCATGTACACATGACAGGGAATTGCTACCTGATCAGGGTACATGAGTGTGTAGGGATACACATCAGTCTTTCACACTTCATTGTGGAAAGCCCTGGTGTAATGCCATTGTATTCACTGTAAACATAATTATTGCTCAGAGAGGGTAGAAAGGTTCCTCAAACACACAGGCCATAGGGCTGCTAGATCTTTTTGTTGTTGTTGTTGTTATGGGCACAGTGGGCGTATTGGGGTTAGACCCAGCCAGCTTTTTAACTCAGTCTCACCCAGGGGTCATTTAGTAGAAAAACAGCTAGGAGAACTCATTAGCATAACTCATTAGCATATGCCACACCTCCTGACATCAGGGGCCCGGCGGTGGACCTGCAAGGCCAGCGGGAGTTCGAGGAAGCCCCGCCAAGGCCCTCCCTGGCCCCAGGCAGGCAGGGGTGGGGAGAGGCGGGGAGGAAGCAACTTACCCTCCCTCTTCTCCTGCTTCCTCCTGGCTGAAAGGGCTGGAAGCGGGGCGGCCGGAAGCAGGGGGCGGGGCTTCATCATGTGCCCCGCCCCCTGCACCTCACCCGGGGGCACTGCGGTCCCCCACGTTCCCCCCCGAAATGACCTTTGGTCTCACCCAAACCCCTTATTGCTATAGCCCTTGTTCCACCTGGCTGTGATCCAAGCAGGTCCCATGATCTCCCGCAGAGCATTTTGAGGTGGTCAAAGAGGATCCTTTTCCCACCTAGCAGAAAAGCTGGTTAGATGCAACCATAAGTCAGTGTGGTGTGATGGTTAAAATTTTATACTAGGATCTGGGAGACCCAGGTTCGAATTCGTACTCTGCCATGGAAGTCTGCTGGGTGACCTTGGGCCAGGCGTGTTCTTTCAGCCTAACCTACCTCACAGGGTTGTTGTGGTGAGGATAAAATGAAGGCGAGGAGAATTATGTTGTAAGCCATGGTTGGTTCCCATTGGGGAGAAAAGTAGTATATAAATTCTAAAATAACAAACACACCCATTATTTATTTAGACAATTTGTACGCCATCTCTGCCAACCTGCTCCGGGCAGCTCAAAACCGAAAACAAGAAGACAAAACCAAGACAATAAAAAACAAGTGAATGAAATAAATAAAAATAAGTCAGTAAAAACATGCCATAAAACCAAGTACCAAAATGACACACAGCAGTTTAAAGGAAGGTGATGTAAGTGTCAGGTGAGCCTTGAGGGGGGAGGGCATTCTAAAGGTGAAGTGTCACCGCTGAAAAAGCCCTGTCTCTTATCACCACCCTTCTCACCTCTGCGGGTGAGGTCCCAGAGAAAAGAATCTTAACTGGCAGGCTGCACAGTACAGGAGGACGTGGTTCTGCTAGTTGGGGATCAGATGTGCCTCTGATCTTCTAGAAGCCAAAACACTCATCAAGGTGGACCTCTTCAATACCCATGTGTCATAAGATGCGGGGCATCTGGGATCTCTACCCAGTGCTACTGTCTGAAGTCAGCAGGAATAAATCAGTGTTGTCCTCTAGGTGGCAATGTAGAAGGCTGTAATTGTTTTAGCCCTGCCAGTTCCATCAAGGGACATGTAATGGTATAGTATAAATAGCTTGATCTCGGAAGCTAAGCAGGGTTGGTACTTGGACGGGAGACCCCCCTCCCAAGAAGACTTTGCCGAGGAAGACGGTAGGAAATCCCCTCTGCTTCTCAGTTGCCTTGAAAGCCATCAGGTGGCTGTGACTTGGCGGCACTTTAAATACGCACACGGATGCCATCAGACTTTCAGATCAGGTCAATATTAAATATTTTTGATGAAGCAGCAATTCGGAACGGAAAGCAGTAAGTAATGCCATCGGTTTTATTAACCGCTGCTCCTCTGTTTTGCCACTCTTGGGCATTTTACAGAGTATTTATTTAGGTAGAATCTTAGAATCACAGAACTGGAAGGGGCCATACAGGCCATCTAGTCCACCCCACTGTTCAGTGCAGGATTATATGCCTTGCTCTTCTCCACGGTGGGGACCCAACGCGGTTTGCAACAACATGCTTCCCTCCACCATTTTGTTCTCACAGTAACAGCCTTGTGAAGTAGGCTGTGCTGAGACCGGCCCAAGATAACCCAGCAGGTTTTGGGGGCAGAGTGGAGATTCAGACCGGGGCCTCCTCGACCCTAGTCTGATGCTCTAATCCCTACGCCACGCTCCCCCCCTTGTGATGCCTGTCCCCATGCTCACCTGTGGGGAGAGGGAAGTCTTTTGCCTGTTGTTGCGATGGGCCTTGGAAGTTCTCCAGTGTGACCTCACAGGCATTGACCTTTCCCTCCCCATTTTCCTCCCCTCCCTTCTGTGATGTATTCAATGTGACAATGTCTGTATGATAGGGCTGCCAAATCCCCCCAGGGGGTGGGAATCCCCCCGCCCCAGAGGCCCATCGGGTCCCGGGGGGAACTCGGGCCCCGGGGTTTTCGTGGCCCCGCCCCCAGCGTGCCCGGTGTCATGATGTCACTTCCCTGTGATGTGCATGCGGCGCACGCGCGCACATGCTGGGAGCCGACCTGGAGTTCCCCGCCGGAAGGGTAAGTGCCACTTGGCAACCCTACTGTATGAAAACACAGTGATTGAAACACCATGTGAAGCTTCGTCCTGGGCTAGGAACCTAATCCCTCAATGACTATTGGTAGCCCAGGAAGAGCCGACCAATCACCAACATCCAGTTCCATGAGAGGGAACAATTGTGATTGGACCTTATCCGTGCAACCTCATAGGGTTGAAATTGTAAAATAGGGCGTGGCTATATTAGCCGGGAGAGTTTAAAAGAAGAACAGCTTCAATGCTAAAGCTGTTCTGGCTATTCATGTTGATCTGTTTGGAGTTGAGTTACCAGTTGCTGAATAAAGTTGATCTTTTGCTGAATCACTCTCTGACTCGTTTGTTAAGTAGCCGACTTAACACCTTCAACCAATGCTCAGTTGCCATGGAGGGCAATGTGCACGGTCAGTCCTTGTCACACCATTTGTGGAGAATGCTGAATGCACAATTTGGCTGGTTGCAATTTGTGAACCCCTTCTCAAGAGATTCCTCAGCATGCAGATACATTTCCCAGTTTATGCCGCTTGAAAGCCCCTGCTCTGTGTTAACAAAAGGGGATGGAGGCCCTGTGCCAAGTGGATTGTGGGGGCTCATTGTGGCTCTGATTTGTCAAGCTGTTCTCTTTATCTATTCAAGTCCCAGCTGTGGTCCACCCATTCTTCTCTTCTGGAAATCTTAGGTAGCACAGAAAATATTCTAGTTCTCATATATTCAACAAACATTCAGCTTCTGTCCTGCATCTCCCTTCCAGCCCAAAACATGGTCACAAGTTCCTCACGTAAGAATAACAGAAGTGCTCCCCTGCCCTGTGGTTACAAGTAACATTAAGAGAAGAAGTCTACAGCATGTGGCGTGATTGACACGGACTTGACATCAGGAAATCCCCCCTAAATCAGGGGGCCCCCATCCTTTTTGAGACGGCAGGCACCTTTTGAAATGGGACACAGTGTGGTGGGTGCAACAACAGAAAGGCTTCCATAGGAAGTGGAGCCAGCCACAAAATGTCAGGGAGCGAAGTTATGCATAATTCTCATAGTAATGCTTTGGCATTTAAGGTAGAAGCTCTATTTAACAGCATGCCTTTTAACTGGCGAGCCAGTTTGGTTGTAGTGGTGAAGAGTGCAGACTCTAATCTGGGAGAACCGGGTTTGATTCCCCACTTCTCCACATGGAGCTGCTGGTGTGACCTTGGGTTAGTTACAAGATCTCTCAGCCATTCTCTCACGAGCAGTTCTGGAAAGGGCTCTCTCAGCCCCACCTGCGTCACAGAGTGTCTGTTGTGGGGAGGGGAAGGGAAAGGAGATTGTAAACCTCTCTGAGACTCTTTCAGGTAGTGAAGGGCATGGTATAAATCCAATCTCTTCTCCTTCTTAATCTTGCCTGCCCAATCAGAAGCCATGCTGGGCAAAAGCCCCACCTGCCCATGTTCTGAAAACACTTGATGGGCATCAGGAAAGGTGTTGGAGGGCACCGTGTTGGGGACCCCTGCCCTGCATCATCAAGTCACGACAGAGCTCTTCTCTGCAGAGTCCTCTTGAGACCTGCAGGCTGTACGATATGATTGGTGAAACTGGCCAGATCGTAAAACTTCCTCGACTTCTCTGCTTCTGATTGTGCTTTGGCAAATTGCATGATTTCTTTGAACCACATTTATCCATCTGTCTATCTATAGCTGGAAGAAGGCTAGGGTAAGAGTTCTCCTTCCTGAATTTTGATCTGGATGATTTTGCTTTCTAATATGGGAAGATTTAATAACACAGTTGGGTCCAGCCAGGTTTTTTCCCCCCACTCGGTCTCACCCAGTTCTGACCCAGACTACCCCAAAAGGTTGTTATGAGGTTGACATGGAGGAGAGAAGAACAGCATGAGCTGCTTTGGGTTCCCACTGGGGAGAAAGATAGCATGAAAATGAAGTAAAGAAATAAAATTCTCCTCTTTACTACAGCCCCCCCCTCCCCATATGGCTTTTGTCCACGCAGGTCCCATGGTCTTCATCACAGCCTTTTTGGGTGGTCAGAGGGGATCCTTCTTCCCTTTTTCACCAGGAGAAAGACAGGTTTGAGTCAACCTAAAGTTCCCACTTCCCCTTTGTGCAGTGTGAAGCAATAGAGTAAATTTTACTGTGTGAGAAGGTTTTTGGTTCTCTGAAACATGATTTCAGTGCTGATCCCCAGCTCCGCATGTATGTTGAGACGGCTGCCTTGCTGGAAAGATTCATATCTCAGATTGTTTTCTCTGAGCGTGTGTCTTAAAGACGCCTGTGGAGAGAAACAATGTTCCAATTAGTTCCTCTGGCTTGATTCGTACATGATGTGTCCTGTGGGTAAAACTTTCAGCCAACATAAGCGTGGCATGTGTTTACTGTTGCCCTTAAACCTACCGGCCTGTACACATGCTTCCTTCACAGATCTCAGGGCTGCTTATGGGGGATCCCCAGAAGATCTCTGATCCAGGGAGTGATCAGATTGAGTTTACACAGTGATCCTAAACTGAGTCATGCCTTTCTAAATCCATTGAAGTCATTGGATTTAGAAGGGCATAACTCCATTTAGGGTTCTTCTGTAAGCTTCAGCAGTGTGATGCGTTCTCCAACCAATGTTGTGTTTAGTAAGAGGATGATTGGTAGCAGATTGGTAGCCAAGGTGAGGACTTCTGTTCAATGTAGGTTTCCTCCCCATCCTGTTTTTTCCCCACTTTCAGGGGCCAAGGAGATGTAAGGAAGCTGGAAAATCCACTGTTCCCCTTAGTCCTCATTTAACAGAAGGGAGGCAGGAAACAGAGCAGCATTCCTGGTGATGACAAATGTCTTCACCAGAGTGACTGTGGGAAACTTCACAGCTACTTAGTCTGTCTTGGAACCATTAGAGGGTAGAGAGGAAAACAAGCCCTGTTTTATAACCCTTGTGATTGACATAGGACCGGCTGAAATTGCTTTAGATCTCTTTATCTGTGGTTGGCTGTGATTGACAGGCTCCCAGTACTGCTGTTGGAAAGCTTGCATGGTCATCTTTTTGGGTTGTTTTAAAATGTGTTTTTTTAAAACGTCCCTCAAACCGATTAATTGTCGAAATCCAACTTGCACTTGGGTGATGAATGTTTACAGCTAACCCTGCTTTATCCTTTCAGATTACATCTTTGTCACTCCCGTTGAGGTGGACTCCAGTGGATCGTACATCTCACATGACATTTTGCACAGCGCTAGGAGGAAGAGATCATCCCCGAGCTCTAAGAATCCCTTGCACTACCGTTTTTCAGCATTTGGACAAGAAATGCACTTGGAGCTCAAACCTTCTGACCTTTTTAGCTACAGTTTTACTGTCCAGGTACTTGGGAAAGACGGCATTGCAGATCTGAAAGACCACCACGTTGAACCGTGTTTCTATCAGGGATTTATACGGAACTATAGCTCCTCTTCAGTAGCCATATCTACGTGTGTAGGCTTGGTAAGTGTCTTCTTTAAAGGAGTGTATGAGGGCCCAGACTTTGGCAGGACTTACCGTTTTGACGCAGTTATCTGGCTCCTACAACGTTCAGTCCCGTTTGACCCATCATCTTCCTTCTTCCCTTTTCCTCTCATTGTTCAGCTTGCCAATGTAATCTTTATTGAACAAGGGAGTTTTAAATTACATTGTCGTTTGCCAAGCCAGTGGTAGTCTTTAGGCTACGGTTCATGAAGACAGGTCTAATGAAAATAATTCTGGAGGCAGATGTGCACAGTTAATCCATGGGAATTTCCTTTCCGCATCGAGTCTTCACGGTCAATACAGGCAGCCGTGTCTTAATTGTTCCAGATCCTTCCTGGATGTATGAATAGCTTTTATTCTCACTTCCACTGTCACCCCACTGCTTGCTCACGTGCAAGGCTATACTATGGAGAGAAGCAGGCTTCTTAAAGAATGCTTTATGATCCAAGATGCCCAGGGTTCACTATGGGTTTGTTCAAATGGAGTACCTGTGGAGGTTCTGTTCTGTGATTATGACCTGACATGTCTTCTGTGCACATGATTTCACAGGGAATTTGGTATCTGGAGTGGAACTTGACATACTTTGATTCTGAGTTTCATTTATAGAAAAAAGTTTCTAATCCTTGAGGATATAGAGGGGGAAAGAGTGACAACTGTGAGCTATATGGGAGGAGGCTGGTGATTTGGGAAGTGGTTTCAGGGCATTGTGTAACACCTTACTCTGTTCCAGTCATTGACATTTGCATTTAAAATCTGCAGCTCGACAGTGTCTCTTATTCTTTCTATTCTCGCAATAGTTTCCAAAACATTCTGAATTTTAGAATCCTAGATTTTTGCAGTAGTTTCAAGGCTGTGTTTTGGTGTTTTATGAGTTAAACTTCTGGTTGGGAGTTATGGTGAGTTTTACTTCCATTTAGAAATCTCTTCCACTTCTATGTCTGTTTTGCAGCTCAGCTTTATTGATCTTAGCTAATTCATGGAGATGCATCCCTTTTATTTAATGAACATTTGCATTTAAGGCTGCAGTCACACAAACTAAATAATCCACTTTCAGTGTACTTTCCAACTAGATTTGCCAATTCACACAGTAAAATCCAGTTGGAAAGTGCACTGAAAGTGGATTATTTAGTGTGACTGACTGCAGCCTAAGTGTTGGTGCAAAGCTGATTAACATTACACAAGTTCCCCTGTACTTTCCCTATATGGATCTTGCTGGGTGAATCTCTATGCTACAATTCCATACTGGCAGTGTGAGTGCAGGTATTTCACTGTGTTTATGGAGTTTCATACATTTAAGGGTAGAGATGTAAAATTTCCTAAAATCTTGAGAGCACTGGGTGTGTGTGTATTGTTTTTCTGGGAAAAAACCAAAACCAGAATTTTTTAGGAAAATCAAAAAAGAAGTTTAGATTTGATGGGAAGGTAAGTATTGCATATTTTTATGTGCAATACTTACCTTCCCATCAAATCTAAAATTCTTTTACTGCTTGAAAGTGCATCATTTATAATGTAGTATATGGTATAATTATGACATTTAAATGTATAAATATTATTTTCTGTAAGAAAAAAGGTAACTGTACCCAATACTCAAAGTTGCGCTCTGAGGGCTGCTGGGATCAGGTAGCACATGTCTCTTTAATTTGTACATTTTGAATGAATGAAATGCTTCGTAAGACAAGTTTTTCTCACTCAAAAACAGAAAATATTTTGTAGGAGGTTCCCCCCCCCTCAATTTTTCCTGGGCCCTCACATCTCTTTTCAAGGGTAGTCTAACCTTGTACCATCAGTGGATGATAGAACATTCCACATCAATGATGAGAATTAGGTGGTTTCTGCAAGTGTCATACTGTATTTTTATTAAATGTATTCTCCGTTTATGAAGTGTATATTGGGAGGTCTGACATATACACTTCACGGTGCATACATATACAGTTTCTGAAGCATATGAGTGTGGCATTGTCAGGATCTTTCAAATTTTACCATGAATTTCTTAAAAACAGATTCTAGAACATGTGGAATCATATCGACAGCGAGTCGGTATATAGTTGAAAAGATCAAACCCCACAGAAGCCAGTATTGTTTAAGGTCAGATTCATGATTTGGTAAACGTTTCGAAATGAGGATATTGTTAAAGTGAAAGATGTGTAGATCACCTGGCCTCTGCATTATGGTATAGTTTTTCTTCTAATGCTGTTCCACACTGCAGCCACCAGGGGCACAGGGATGGGAGAGCATAGTAAATAGGAGTTGCTCTCTGCCTTTGCTGACTGGGCCTTTCTGCAAGGTTACTTGGAGGCTGAGGGAAACTCTTGCTTTCAGATCCTGTTAAGTCCATCAACCAACCCAGGCCCTGGAACGAGGCAAGATCAACCAGCACAGCTCATGACTGACACATACCAGGGGTCATTTCGTAGAAAAAGAGGTGCAGGACCTCATTAGCATAACTCATTTGCATATGCCACACCCCCTGACATCACTGGAAGTGTGTCAGAAGGCAACACCCACTGCTCAGGCTCCACTGGACTGTTTTGGATTGCTAGCTATTGGGGGGGGGGCACGGACGTGCAGATCTGTCCTTGCAGAGGAGGGAGAACTTGTACCTGAATAAAACTTGGTCTTAAAGGTGCCACTGGACTGTTTTGGACTGGGGGGCCGAGGAGGGTGGGCTCTGCAACTTACCTGGCCTCTTCTTGCTCTGAGGGCTGCTGGGATCAGGGTGTGGGGCTTGTTGCATGTGCCCACCCCTGGGCTCTTTACTGCTGGAGCTCCGCTCCTGCAGGAAATGACCCCTGCATACAGTCATTGTCAGGATGCAACCTACTGACAAAGTTGTTGTTTCTGGCAGTCAGCTTCCCTTTTCCTTTCCTTCCACCCAGCTCCATTGTCTTGTCTGCTCAGCTGGATCTTGCAAACGGGTAGCCTTTTTGGTGTGCTGTAGAAAATAAAGCAACCTTTCCTCTTTTCTTAATTTCCCTTCCTCTTTTCCACACTTTTCTCCTTCCTTCATTTGGTCTCTTCCTTCAATGATATTCCCTCATTTCTCTCTCCCCCCTTCTAATCCCCCTTCTCTTATTTGTCAGTTTTGATATCAACTCTTTTCTCCTCCCTGCTTGGCAACTTTAAAAGGTAAAGGTTCCCTTGCTCGAAAGCCAGTCAAAGCCGACTCTAGGGTTGCGGTGCTCATCTCTGTTTTAAAGCCGAAGAGCCAGCGCTGTCCAAAGACGTTTCCGTGGTCATGTGGCCGGCATGACTAAACACCGAGGCGCACGGAACGCTGTTACCTTCCCACCAAAGTGGTACCTATTTATCTACTTGCAATTTCTTGCTTTCGAACTGCTAGGTTGGCAGGAGCCGTGACAGGAGCTTGGCAACTTAGAATGTACTTAATGGTAGAATAGCAGCAAACGCTTGTTAATATTATGAACAGAAGTCTGTGTGCAGGGGGGAGTTACTATTTCCCCATGATCTATCAAACTAATAAAAGAATGCTCCCCCCCCCGCCTCTGTTTTCATGCTACATAAAGGTGCAAGGGTAAACTTAAATAGGCTTCTTACTGATTTACGTACTAACTTTTGGTATACACATGTATGTGTGTACAAACATAAAACTACAAAACTGGACACATGGTTTGGATGAGGGTCACACTGGAGTGGGCAGGTGGAATCTTTGTCCAGGGACCCATGGTGGCTCTCGGCAGCTCTGATGGAGAGTAATCTCAGATGTCCACAGCTCAGGCCAGGCTTGTGTCTTCCGTGGTGAAGGAGATCACAAGGCCTGAGTTTTTGTCTCACATTGCATACTATTAGTGTGCTTTTACATTTTAAGGGGTTTTTCAATTGCCTTTTGCTAAAGCATCATCTGCTACCTTTGCTTTGCCCCTGCCTCTGCTATGCTGAAGGAAACAAATGACCATTCCATATACCTGGTGAAAGGGAAGATGGAGAAGGGAGGGAACCTCCACTTTCAGAGGCAATAAACCTCTGGATACTGGTGTCAAGAGGAAAATGCCTGTATCCCCTGTTGTTGACCTTGCAGAGTAACTGGCTGGCCACTGTGTGAGACAGGTCACTGGACTAGAGGGACCATTGGTACAGTCCAGCAGGGCACTTCTTAGGACTCCTTTGATGATTTAGTCTCCCTAACATTTGGGGCCATTCATTTACTGTTCCTACTCTAGGGCTGTTGTGAGGATACAACCAAGTAAGGGAGAGAATCGTACATGCTGACCAGCACTTAGAGGAAGGATGATATTAAAAATGTAATTGGTGGATAGATGAGTGATCTCTGAAGAAAGTAGCTATGAGGGTAATCCTATGTGTGCACAGTTCATTGTGAAAGAAGGGATTGTGGTCCAAATGTATTGGTGTGTGGATCCTTCCACTATCCTCCCCACTCCACTGAACAAACTTTGGAGCATTCTTCCAGCCTATGGAGACTTCCCCCTACAGAAGAATCACTTAAGCAGGAGGAGTTTTCCTTTCATTGGAAGAACTTCCTTCACCCTGAGGTTGGATCCATATGAACGTGCACATATCTAGAAAATACACATCCAGGAGAAAACGCAATAGTGTTTTTTTATTGGTGTTCATTGCTATTGATCAAGAACCACCACCAATGTTCAAGAATGCCAGTCTTGGTCTAGATTCCGTAGCTGTCCCTGAATGCAGGTCTGTGACCGGAAGCATCATGTGAAGTATCTTGTGAAGTAACGCCATCCACATCCTCCCTTTCCTAACCGCGTTTGTCACTTGGTTGCCCTTCTTTCTTATTTGCTTTGTTTGCCACAATTAAACCCAAAGTGATGTTGCTACTACATGGTTGGGAGCACTAATCTTCCTATTGTTCCTTTCATTAGTGGTAGCGTCTCCACAATAAAACTGCAGTGACCCATTCATTCAAGCCTGGAACTCCACAGTGGGAATTGGAAGCAATTGTATTTCGGAAGACTACAGGGACTCTTTGATCTCATTCGCTTTTG